CCCCGGGGACCGTGCCGGGGGTCCCCGCGCGCCCCGCGCCCCAGGCCGAGGCCGAGCCCGTCTACATTGAGATGCTGGGCCGCGCCGGCAGCCCCGAGCAGGCCGAGGCCGTGTACGAGGAGATGAAGTACTTCGTGCCCCCCGAGGACGGCGGCGCGGGGGTGGGCGCCTCGGCGTCCGCGTCGCCCCCTCTGCTGGGTGACGGTCGGAACCCCATCTCCCTGGAGGACGGCGACGGGAGCGGCCAGGCGCCCGGGCCCTGCAAGGACGCGTGCGACATTCCCGCGCCCTTCCCCAACCTGCTCCCTCACCGGCCCCCGCTCCTGGTGTTCCCGCCCACCCCGGTCACCTGCTCCCCCGCGTCCGACGAGTCGCCCCTGACGCCCCTGGAGGTGAAAAAGCTGCCCGTCCTGGAAACCAACCTCAAGTACCCTGTGCAGTCCGAGGGCTCGAGCCCTCTGTCTCCGCAGTATTCCAAAAACCAAAAAGGGGACGGAGACAGGCCCGCGTCCCCCGGCCTCCCGGTATTTAACGGGGCCCACAAGGTCTCTCCGCCGCCCACGCCCCCGCCCGCGCCCCCGGCCGCCGCCCCCCGGCCGCCCGCACACTTCACCTTCCCGCCAGAGCCCGGCGCGCCCACCGCGGGGAAAGGGGCGGCCAACCCAGATCTGCCCAAGGGGCAGCAGAAGCCCAACTCTGCTCCAGCCGGGGGGCCGTGCAGCTCTTTCTCCAAGGTTCCTTACTCCCCCGGGAAGGCAGCTAGAGCCGACCATAGGAAGGCCAACTCCAACTCCTCCTCTCCAGTCCCCTACAGCCCCCCAAACTCCAGACCAATCGGCAGCCCTCTGGACGAGCTAACCAGTCTCTTTAACTCGGGAAGGAGCGTGCTCCGGAAGTCGGCGGTGGGGAGAAGAATCAGGGAACCGGAAGGTAAGCAGAATCGACACTTATGCCCCTTCTGCACATTGAGATAGACAGATAGATACGTAGATAGATGGAGAGAGACGTAGATGGTTGGATGGATGGATGGATGGATGGATGGATAGATAGGTAAGTGGATAGGTAGATGGATGGGTAGATGGATGGATAGTTGGATGGATAGATGGATGGATAGTTGGATGGATAATTGGATAGATATGTAGGTGAAGGAAGGAAGGAAGAAAGGAAGGAAGGAAGGAAGGAAAGATAGATGGATAGATAGAGCAATCGATCACTGGATGGACGTAGACGTATACACATATAACTATGTATAATTAAAATAATGTTTGAGGTGATTGTAGTGGTCATTCAGAGGCGATAACTTAAAATAAAATCTTATGCAACCAATGTGGCCAAGTGGATAAGAATATTTCCATTTTGCAGATAAAGGCTTATGATATAAAAATGCATAGCACTAAAACTGGGTTTAATAAATTCTTATGACAATAAGTCATAAGATAGAGCAAGATTTAATTTTAGCTACTGATTTCTTTTTCCTAATAATACTTCCTTAGAACATGAAATGGTATTTTTGTAGCATTGCGTTGTGATTCCTATTTGATTTACAGTTCACCATTAAGCCCTGAGTGTTCTTCTGTCTTGCTGTCCATCTCACTTCCACTCCTGGTATCTAGGAAGATTACCTATTCAGTTACCACCTTACACTTATTACCACTCACCTTTATATTGTTTTGAATAAATGGTTTTTCTTCTGTCCCTACACCACCCAAGGAACCTTGTAACTCTGTTCTGTTCTATTTGTGTCTCCTCATTGAGCAACTCAGCCTAAGGCACGGTTTGCAGTTAGTCCACTCAAGTGAGCTCAGCCTGAGGCTGCTGCAGCCAGAGACTGTTGCCTGTATAAAAATGTATGTATTTCTGTGTCCCTATAGAAGCAGAAAGCAGCAAGCAAAAAAATCCTCATTAAGAATTTTTACTAATCTCTTGTAAGTAGCTAACCACATGCTGTTTCGTTCAGATGAGGTCGCCTTTGTGCCAAAGGTGCTATTTTGGCAGATTCTCTTAATAATCACAAAGAATACAGTCATCTTCCATAAAGGATTTTAAGGCTTTTCTACTAAACCAAGATATTTCCCAATGTTCTGTATTTGGGGGAAGAATTACACTAATATAAATCATCCTCTCTTTAAGGACATTGTAACTGGTCCCTTCAGTCATGATGTCATTAACCTGAGGTAGATGGCAACTATTAACATCTTCACTGTACAGAGACAGGAAACTTCAAGAGGTTAAATACCTTCCTTAGGGGCAGGTGGTAGGACTGGCAATAAAATTTTCACGTGTAATATAACATTTTATGTACTCATTAACCTGCTCTTTCTCCTAAAGAAAATACATAAATACGTTAGCTGTCATCTTTTGATTAGGAGAATTACTTTAGGTACAAAAACTCTAGAAAATCTAGAAAGCCATCTGAATAAGTGAAAAGTAGGTCAAGACGAAGAACACTTAGCAAGTGAATGAATAACCTACTCCCTATTTATTCTTCAGACAAATAAGCTAATTATTTGTTTAGCTAACAATGTCTTCTTAATTTAATAAATGAAATTGTGCTTGTAAGTAGGAGAATGTTTGAATTTCACAAGTCATATGTTTCATTCAAAGAAACAAAGCAGAATCTAAGAGAAAAGCATTAAATGAACAAATTAATATTTGCTGTTAGAACTCGAAGTTTATTAAAACCTCATAAACTTCATTTTACTATAGATGGGAATTGGGTGAGTTCTTCCTAGCTGTATTCAAGAAAGTGAAGGAAATGAATTTCTGGACAGGCCTCATCATTTGGAAATCCCTAAGTCTAGGATTCAGAGCATCCTGAGAATTACAGTGAGGCCTCCAGGCATGGTGCAGGAATTTGCTAATTATATTTCCCTATGGTGGCCTTAACCAGGACCATTTGAAAACACATATCAAAACCTCAAGTATTACCTTGTTAATTCAACTCTAAAATTATAAAACTTCTATTTTGCTACTGTGGGCTTTTACAAAACACTTTTTAATTTGAAAAGATTGGTTTGAGCCACTTATGACTTTCTCATAAATACATGAATTGGCAACTTATGCCCCAACATAGTAGCTGTAATAACAGAAAACTTAGCAATATGAGACCAGGTCATCCCCACACACCAGATGCCAGGAGTTCTGACTCTGCAGTTGAGAACTGTGTGACTCTTGATGGTCTCTGACGTGGGAAATAAGTTTACAAGAGTGAACGACATGTTCTCATGGGATCACACGGGTTACTCTTTTAGAATGTAATGCGGGCTAAAGATAAGATGAGAAAGGAAAAGGAGTCTTCACGCTGGAGCTCAGCACTGGAGCTGCTTACATGATTACTAAGGTTTACACAGTTTGATCCTGAAGCCAATAATCCATTTCCTTCTGAATGAATTAAATGACTGTTATTAACGATTTATTATAATCTTGAGACTTCTTCCTTTTAACTTGAAAAATTTTCTGCTTTACCTTCTTTGTATTTAAAGATATTCCTATTTTCGCTTGAAATAGCTTTCTTACCAAATAATCCAGAGGGTGGCCAATTCACCCTCAAGGCTCCTAAATTAATTACAGATCATTTCTTGTACGGTTGTGATGTGGGGAAATCGTACTGCAAATTTTGCAGAAGGGCGCAAAATATTCCCCTCGCTTGTTTGGAAAGTGACCTTGAGGAGATTAAACTGCTCATTATTACCCTGCTGTAGGTATTTCCAGTTAAAATATAAAGTACGGTGAGGTGTGCATAAGAAATGAGGTCCTTTGGCGTGTAATTACCCCATCACTATTCCATAGTGATACATATATATAAAATGCTACATAGATGTAGCATTTTATAAATATTACATTCCTCAAAACAGTTCATTTTCTGTAGACTCTTGGATATTCAATTTGTGGCATAAAAGCTACACAAATTCTCCGAGTCTGGGATGCACGTGTAGGCCAAATGTGCTCATGCAGATGATGGATGTGACTGCAGCCTGAGAGGAGTAACATTAGCAGCAAGTAACTTACTAAGTGCTTGCTATGCCCCAGGCATTGTTTTAATCATCTGTTTAATTCTCACAAGACTAAAAGGTATCTGCTACTATTATCCCCATTTTACAGATGGGAAAGCCAAGACACAGAGAGGTTAATCGACTTACTCAAAGTCACCCTGCTCATGAGAGACAGAGAATGGCTTGAATGCAGTAATTCTGTCACCAGAGGGACACCTACACAATGGTGCCTAGGACAGGAAGGAAAAAAACCAAAGAGGAGAAAGTTTTAAAAATTCATATTTGCTCACCTGAGCTGCAACAAGTAAGAGTCATACAGTTTGGTTGGAGAAAACTGTTCCATAATCTCAAAAATGCCAAACGTACTTTACAGATCATAGGAATATATATATAATTTTGGAATACCAAATGGAGGCCACTTGATCCTTAAAATTAAGAATGACTAAGTGTTTAATTGTCTATGCCTTTCTAGATACAGTTATCCCATTCATTCACAAAATGTTTTTTATCTGATGTTATAATATGACTAATATTATTGTGCTGATTATTTCTAGTTGCTTAGTTTCAAAATTTTGAGACCTAACTCCAATGAAAGGGGAGATTCATTGGCTTGTTTAGGCCACTAGGGTGCTCCATTGCTCCAAATGACATCACAGCGTCTGGTTGAGTTTACCTAGAACATGAAATAAAATGAGCATGTTATTCTTCATTCATTGAAAAAGATCAGAATGATAGGACATTGACAAAAATGCAGTACACCTCAGAAATCTGAAGAAGAAAGTGGAGGAGAGCAGGCTGAATTAAGGAAAAGTCTGATTTTCAGAATATTTTTACAAAAAATTGTTTCATTATTTTCTGCTACTCTGCATCCTTAGTTTATAAGATATAAATAGATACTTAAAAATGATATCAACAAAAATAATGTACAATATTTCTTTCCATATAGTAGGGATTTATTAAATACTTATTTGATGGAAAACCTACCTAAAAAAAATCAGTTTGATGTATATATATATTTGATAGATTTAGCCCTTGTGGCATTTGTACTTAATAAGAACCACTTTAAGCCAAATGGAAATTACTGTTAATTATAAATATTTTATTTGATTGCATAAACATTCTAAATAAGAATATTTTGAGTTTTTAAATCAGCATGTTATATAAATTAATTTTTACAATATGATATTTTTATTACATGAGGCCATTTGTTTAAAAAAATTCTTTTTAAGGTTGGCCTTATGGAAAATTTCAAACATATACAAAAGTAGAGAGAATAGATTAATGAACTCTCTCCATGGCCAATCCTATTTTGTCTGCTCTCCCTCCCAGTGTCCTCCTCCACCATTGGATTATTTTGAAGTATATCCCCATGTCAAATCAATTTATTAGTAAATATTTATAAATATTCTGTTATAGAAGTCCTTTAGAAGAAATAAAATATTTATTCTTAAGTTGCTTTTATTAGTACAAATCAGTCCATCCATTTCAGCCTTCACCAACATGAGACTGCTGCTCATGACAGGAGCCTGCTTCTGGAAATCAGGGCATCATTTTTCATGATATAAGCAAAATAATTCTCAGGGGTTAGCATTCCACCAGAACAACACTGGCCTGCAAGATCTTGCACATGGGCTTTGAGGACAGCCCCTGACCTGGGTGGCTGGTGGAACAACTGCTTCTACTACAAAAAGAGGTGTGAATGTCTAAATATTACATCCAAAGAGAACTAATTATGAAAGATAAACATTCCAAAAGACATACAATTGCATTTTAAGTCAATATGTTACAAGGTTTAAACACTTCTATGCCAAATTAAGTACAGTTACTTATACATTGTTTAGTAACAAGAAGAATGCTTTAACATCACTGCAATATCATGGAATTACTGGCAGAAATCTGTGATTTACTCAAGGACAGTGTTTGTAAATCGCCCTCCTC